TCGCCTTCCTTCGTGAACCCGTGCATTCTGGTCTCTCGCCAAGGCTCTCCAAGGGAACTTCTGTCAGTCATATCTACCATCTCTGCACAGAAAGAACAACTCACTGGCCCATGCCGCAAAGGAGAAAGCTGATCTGATAGGCTCTCTCTTTGCGTCCAACTCAACTCTCGATGACGAGGGAAACACACCACCGACCATCCCGCGATGTGTGTACTCCATGCCGGAGGTGCGGTTTACACAGCGCTCGGTTCGCAAAGCACTCTTCTCCCTGGACGTCAGTTAGTCGAATAGGCCTGATGGAGTCCCTCCCATTGTGCTGAAGACGTGTGCTCCGGAGTGGGCACCGGTTATAACGTATCTTTTCCGGTACTCCTACTCCCAAGGCATAGTCCCGAATTATTGGAAGACAGATTTGGTCCACCCGATCTACCTTACTATCCCCTTGGGCTCTACTGCCTCCGCCCATCTGGCGGAGGCAGTAGAGCCCAAGGGGAAGACATTGGCCGTTAGTTTGAACATAGCGAAGGCCTTCGATCGGGTCTGGCACAAAGCGCTTCTTTCGAAGCTCCCTTCCTATGGCCCTTCCTGAGAAATTGTGCGATTGGATCACCAGCTTTCTTGCCAATTGGAGCATCAAGGTCGTAGTAGACGGTGCATGCTTTGATTACAAGCCTTTAAACGCTGGTGTTCCACAAGGCTGCGTGCTATCACCAACGCTGTTTCTTCTGCATATCAATTATATGTTGCTAACTGATAACATTCATTGCTATGCAGACGACAGCATTGGTGATGTCATATACACCGGCCGTGTCAATATTTCTCGGGAAATCGTCGCCGAGTACCGGGACAAACTTGCGTCTAAAGTCGAGTCTTTGCTCACCAAAGTCTCCGATTGGGGGCGACTAGATCTAGTCCAATTCAATCCCCAGAAGACACAAGTTGGTGCGTTAACAACTTGTAGAGCGAATGTGGTTTCCGAAAAATAGACCTTCTTAGGGTATTTCTGTTTATCTCTGTGTTAATCCACTTTATATGACATCGCCTATATGTCCGATACAAGCAATATAGGGACCCCAGTAGAAGTACCAGCAAAATGATAGACAGCAAAATATTACTCGTAGTCAGATGAAATTGCAATTGTAGTTGACTTATTGCTTCTCACTGCGTTTTGCACAATTGACCGTAATTGTGCAATTACGGTCTCTTTAGTCTGTTTACCGCCCATCTTGGATGTTATTTTTCGTTAGCTTTTTGTTAAACACATGTACACAGTCGCGCAGCTGACGATAGAACGCCATAGCATAGCATCATTAAAAATGTTCCACTCTAAATACGGCGGAGGGTGTCATATTCGCGTCGCGAATTACTTCGGCAGTGTCACCATGTAGGGCGAATGTTAGGAGAGGAGTTAAACAAACGAATGATGATATAAGACTCTCTTTATTGTATTAATAAATTTGATTATATAGGATTATTATTACACTTGTGTGTGTACTTTTATATACTCTTACTACTACTACCACAAACTAAAAAAAAACCGTTTGTCGTGTCTCCTCAGTTTGAAGGCTTTTCCCTTGCTGCTTCAGCTAGCATCAGAATCCTCGGCGTCAACATATCGAATAGTGTGCAGTTTTCGGAGGGGAAGGCCAAATTGGCCTCTAAAAAGCTTGGCGTGTTCAACAGAGCAAGGCAGTATTTTATGCCAGCACATCGCTTGCAACTTTACAAAGCGCAAGTTTGGGCTCACATCGAATACTGTTCTCATCTCTGGGCCGGGGCACCCTAGGGCGTAGGGATATTGCATCCATTTGCGTTTTCAATCGTATCACCATGGGGAGTGTTCTGAGGAATTGTTTGGATTAGTTCCTGCCGTCAAATTTCACGAACGCACTTCGCGTCAAAATTCTCAATACCATTCCCACCATCTGGATGCTTGGCGGTCCACTACTATATTTTTACTAGGAGTTTTCTTCCTCGTACAACTTCTCTGTGGAAATTTTTCCATCGGCGACTTTTCCGGATTTATACGACTTAGGGACCTTCAAGAAAAGAGCTTACTCCTTTCTAAAAGACCGGCAACACATTTGCGATTCCCATAGTGTTGCGGTTGTTCATGGGCGGCAGTAGTCACATACCATCAGGTGAGCCGCACGCTCTTTGCCCCATCTTCTATAAAAAACCAGCTGTTGTAACTTGAAGACCGTCTGTTGTGCAGTATGAGGTTGCGCGTTGTCGTGCAGAAGCAGCGCGGACGAGCTACCAAAGCTGGTTGGAGACGTGCTAGCTACTCCATCATTGTGTTTAATTCTTCACAGTATACATATGCAGTATATAATGTAATGCTCATCCCGTTTGTTAAGAAGCTGTAATGAATCTCACCGGAGCTAGACCACCAAATAGTGACCATCACTTTTCTAGGGGTAAGTTTTCGTTTAGAGCATTGTTTAGGTGCTTATCCAGGCTCCAACCAACTTGCTGAGCGTTTGCAATTTTCAAACAGAATCTATTTTCTATCGCAGGTAACAATGCGGTTAAAAATTCCTTCGTTTGTGTGCTTGTTAGCAGTGCAAGGCACGTCTTCGCACAGGTGATCATTGAGTTGTGGGATACCCATTTGTTAAGCTTTTATCCTTGCCAATTTGTCGCAAATGAACCAATATTGTTTTGATGCTAACTTCGAAAGCTGTTGCTAATTCAGCCGTAGATTGAGTATCATCAGCTTCAACAATCACTATTAATTCGTCATTGTCGACCAAAGTTTTCTGACAACCACTGGGTTCTTTTTTCATTTTTCAGGTCGAAATTTCAAGAATGGAAGCGGGCAAACCAATAACAGGTGGTACATTTGTTGGTACTATTTGCTCCGTAAACGTCGTTGATATTGCGTGCTGCTTATGCAGCGTTACTCAAAGTCCGCCGTGATGTAGGAAGGGGAAATGACGCAAAATAGTACAGACACGCGCTCGCAGCGATAAAGTTTTATTTATCTTGCGTGCTCGATTTATCAAATTAAGTAGCCTATTAAATGTCGGCAAGCAGTCAACGTCAAAGGTGTGCAACTTCTGTATGTAGTACTATTATTGATTCATATTCATTGCAAGTTCAACAAGTAAAAATGCCGACGCACTACGCGGGACGGAAAGCGGGGGAAAAAAGAAAAAAAATAAATAAAATAAGGAAAAGCCCCCTACCCAAAAACAGAAATTTGATCGTATTCTACTCAGTTAACAATATTGTTAGTGAATAAAGTTTTAATTTCAGTGTTTTGTATTATTATAACTTACAATATTTTAATTACTGCCTTTTTTGAGAGTTATGGTAACTTCTATATTTTTGGGATTATCTAGCGAGAAGATAATCCACACCCTATGGGTAGGATGCAAATAAAGCCAACATACTATCCCAATCTGCCGACCTATAGTGCCACACATGGCTGCAGCCTATAGATTGTGCCTACAATGAGCAAGTGATGAACACCGTACTATGGATCAGTAAATGATCCGAAGAGCCAAGAGGGGCATCGAAAGAGACCTGATAGCCGTGCGAATGAGAGGTATTTGAGTTGTGTCAGACCATATGCCAAGGCCAAGCCGTAAACATATCTTCCTGCATGATCAGTAGTATGAGAACCGAGCCATTAAGCATGTTGGGCGTTGAAACTTGTGTGTTACACATAATCGGCTGTCAATTGTCATATGCAACGTTTCACATTTATCCCCTCGCATGTCGGGGTCATTTTGGGTAATATAGCGCATCTATCGAGCACTTCCCGAAGTACTTCCAGACTACTTCCTGCAGTTCATTAAAATGACTATTTCCAAGACATTTTGTATAAAAGGTATATTAAAATCATATATCAATGGAAACTTTATTAAATAAGCTATCAGATTATGTATAACTTGAATACAGGTTTACTTCGAAAGTGATACTAATTTGAAAATGAAAGTAAGAAAAGTGTTTTTTCCTCAATTTTCTGCAAAGGTGTAATAATTATAAATTAAAGCCTTTATTCCAAGTACTATTTGTTTTACTTGTACGTCCAAAACATATTTAATTATAAAAAAAAATCATAAATTTTTTGTTTACGACAAGGTCGAGAAAGGCCTCACTTAGCTCTTCTCGACATCGGGACAAAAATAAGGAGGTTCACAAAAAAAAAACAACAAAAAACACATTATTAAATCAAATTTAGACAAAATCAATCATGCAGATATATATATATATATATATATATATATATATATATATATATATATATATATATCATATGTGGGTAAGGCTCAAATTTTTTGCGCAGTCGCACAATTGGTCATCAAAACTTGTGTAATCATCGTCAGTATCGGCGTATTGAATCTCATTAGTATCAGTATCTTCAGAAGTTGTGTCTGCTTCCTTATTTATCTTTCTAGCTCTTTTACTTGATTTTATCTCCTTATTTACCTTATTTTTTTAGTTCTGGAGTCACTTTTTTTACAGGAAACTTTCATTGGTTTTTGTTCAAAATTATGAACCTTAGACGAAAAACAATCACAGGCTCCTCTTGCGCAAAAACAACTCAATGGTCTGTACTTGATAACACGTTTATCGTCTGTAGCAATGATCTGATGGATGTTTCATAGTGTTAGGAACTGGTTGTATATCTTGAGGATTTTTAATACTGCTTTCAGTAACGTAAAATAATTTAATGGATGTATCAGTTTCAGACAAAACTTCAAATGCAGATTTACCATCAAGTATGTCCTCACCATAAGAGACTCTACTAACTAAAATTCTTTTGATGGCTCAGCCCACACCATCTGCTGCGCCTTTTCCATGGGAAGCCTCAAAAAACGACCACGTCGCCTGAACAAATCCAGCTTCACAAGAAGTTTCTTTAAAACGTTTTTTTCTTCATGATTAAAACGTCTTTTACGGATTTTATCGCGTTTATTTTTACTTTTTATTTACTTTTATTTTTGATTCCCGACGTTTCGGGCGCTTTCCAGCACCCATGGTCACGGTCATGGTCGGTTTTTTTCTTCGTTTGATTTACTATCATTATAGGTTTCTTTTAAAGACTCTTCCAGAACACGAGTTTCTAATAATTTCTTCCTTATCTGAAAGCATGAAATAAAATAAGTTTAGGTGTAAAATAATGTTAAAACGTAATAATTGATAACTTAGTTATTATATAATTTAGTCAATACGTTTTTAGAATATTATATTTTTATTGTTTAATTTATTTCATTATTTTTTTGTTTCCTGATTGGTAATAAATTATTAATTAAAAAAGTTTTACCTTCTGTTTAGATTCTTCAGATATATCAGGAATTTCTTCTTCTATGTATTTTGTTAAAGGAGTAGTAGGGGATTTTGTAGGTTCGACTGTATTTTTTGTTTTAAGTTGATTCAATTGGTTGGTGAGAGTATTAATTTTTTTTCTGTATCTTAATATAGTTTTCTTAAGACTGCTATATGTCACACATAAGTTTTTATTTTTTTCCTTCAAAATCCTGTTTTCACGAAGTAATTTACTACGATATTTGCGACGTTGTCTATTATCATTATTTGATACGACTAGCTTTTCTACCTTTTCCTCTTTTTTTATTGCGTTTAGCATCTCGCCATGCTTTCTAATCGCCAATTTTTCACCTTCACTCATATTCGCTATTTTTCTTTTTTTTAGTCTTTGTTCTCTCTGCATTCTTTTTTTTTCATTAAATCATATTTTTCTGAATTAGAATCAAAACCAAAAAACAACGCTGACACAACCAAATAGAAGAAATAAAGAAAAAAAAAAATTTATAAAGGTACCAACACCAACGAAAAACACCGCCACGCCTCGCATTGTTTAAGGTTTTCGCTGTACTTTCGGCACCTTTCAGCCGCGGACAAAGGCATCTGAAAAATATTGATTAACAAACAATTGAAAAAAAAAAAATACGCAAGCACTTTAGTATGATTTCATAAATTGAGTAGAACGTTGATAGGTACACACCTTTACGATTTCCATTGTGACACGTCACACAATTTCGTGTCATACGTCACACAACGGATCAAAAATTCCACACAACTTAGCCTAAAAAATATCATAATTCATGATATTTACTGTATTGCTAATCCTAATTGCTATATTTTGACAATTAAATACATTATAGATATGATTTACTATCTTAATTCAGGAAAACAATTTAAATTTCGAAAATATAACAAAGTAAACTTACAATTTCTTAATGACACGTAGCGAGTTCCGATTATACGTACGTAGTAACTGGCTACGCGGCATGTAACCGAATCACTAGTTTCGAGTCATATTACAACTAGTGATTTTTGTAAATGCGTTACTTATTACTGTTAACCGTGATTATTGCGAGAGTCGACTGTCGGTCGGTCGAACGCAAAGCGCACATGTGGCATACAACAATAAACAAAACAGCGTATGTAACAGTATTATTGTACTTTTAATTTTCATACGTAAAACTATAGACATAGATAATAAAATAGAGTAATCTCTGTAAATAATTTCAACGGTCGATTCCGGGATGCGAGAGTCACATTGAACTTAAGTAAAATAATTTTTACGAGTACGTTTTTACGAGAAAAACATTTTTGACGAGTCATGAACTCGTTTATTCATACAATCAAAATAAAACTAAAAAATGTATATAAAAATTTTAAGTGTTTATAATATTATAAAACTTAAAAACTGTGTGTAAATAGCCAAACAAACAAATTAATTGTACGGTGTAAATAAAAGTGCAAAACCAAATGATAGTGAAAACGTTGAAAAAGTGTAAATAAACTGTAAATATCAATAACCATTGTATAAACAATCAAATTGACTTGCCTGCATTAATATTTTATGAAAATCTTAATGTCATAGTAAACGAAAATCAATCATAAATACATTTAATGCAGTCAGTCCTAAACCTGAATAGAGTATGAAGGGAAGTAAATTTATTGATTTAACTGTATAGCTACAAACACTTAGTGATTAAATTTATTTTCGTTTCGTGTATAACTGTATAGTTGGTGGTGATATTTATCCAAACAATCACAGTAGCCGAATAAAAATAACCAGTTACAAAAATCACTAGTTTTGAAACAGGTGACGCCGACCAAGTCACTGGTTTCGTTACGTTTTTTGAAAATGACGTAACGACCCACGTCTAAGGCCCGTTCACCGTAAGATGTCCCCTGCTGTGATGTTGGCACTATTGCTTGTCAATCTGTTGTCAGTTTGTGATTATAACGCTCGTTTTTGTGTTATTATTTAAAATATTCCGAATCATACATACATATACATACATAAACACTCACGCCTGTCACCCAGAGAGGTAGGCAGAGACTACAGATTTCCATTTGGCACGATCCTGACACACCTCTCTCGCCTCCTTCACATCCATACACCTACGCATACATGCTCGTCGGTTAAGGGTACTCCTAATTTGGCCCGTTTCCAATAAATCGCCAATTTGGTCGATAAATTTTCGCCTAGGACGTCCCTTTCCGACTCTGCCATTCACTTCTGCAACATAAATTTTCTTTGTCACTCTTTCCTCATTCATTCTTTCCACATGACCTAACCACCGAAGCATTCCTTTCTTAATCCTGGTCACAACATCATCTTGCAAACCACACCTCTTTTCTTATTACACAATTTCTTACCCTGTCATTCAGATTCAGCCCTAACATAATCCTTAACGACCGCATTTCTACTGCGTTTATTCTACTCTCGTGCTTCTTCTGCCACACCCAACTTTCACTACCATACGTTAAAGTAGGAACCAACACAGCATTGTGAATTGCCATACGTGCCTTTTTCGACACATTTTGACTCTTCACAATAGCGTGCAAGGCCCCATTTACTCTATTTCCCGCATTCACTCGTCGTTCTATATCCTTATCATATCTCCCATCCCTGCTAAATACGCAGCCCAAATATACAAACTCATCTACTTGCTCGATCAACTCCCCTTCTATTCTTATTTCACAAATCGTTTTACTTTCTTCTCTTTCAAAAACCATAACCTTCGTCTTACTTGCGTTCACTTTCATACCCATTTCTTTTAATGATCCGTTCATTAATGTAACCATCATTTGCAACTCGGCCGCTGACGACGCAAGAATGACTTGATCATCGGCGTACAAAAGGCATTTGACGGTTAACTCACCCATTCTTAATCCGCATTCTTCAACTTTCAAATTTTGCGAACAACTGTTCATAAATAGGTTGAACAGCCATGGGGGAAGCCACACAGCCCTGTCTGACACCTTTATGGATGTCAAACCAGTCCGAGTAGACCCCGTTGATCCTAACACAAGCACTAGAGTCCCTATAAAGAGACTCCAATGCCTGTATCAAGCCAGCGCTCAACCCAAATGAGTTCAGTGTTTGCCATAGCAAATCCCTATCCACTCTGTCATAGGCCTTTTTCAAGTCCATGAACGCACAAAAAACCTTTTGGTTTTTGGCCAGAGACTTCTCCGCGATCATGCGCATGGAAAAGACTTGATCTGTACATCCCATTCCCTTTCTAAATCCCGCTTGCACATCCCAACTTTTTCCATCAGTTTCTTTCATGACCCTTTCAATCAGTACCTTAGCGTACAGTTTTCCCACAATGCTAAGAAGGCTGATGCCACGGTAGTTTTTACAGTCTTGCTGCGACCCTTTTCCTTTATATACTGGGACTATCCCGGCTTTGCACCAGTCTACCGGTACCCGCTTCAGTTCCCAGCATAAATTAAACAAGGTGTGCAGCAGGCCTCCCACCACCTCCTCTCCAGCCCTTAGCATTTCGAGTGAAACTCTATCATATCCGGGCGCCTTACCCGCTTTCATGCTTTTCATTGCTTTGATTATTTCATCTATACTTATCTCGCTACCTCTTTCCTCTTCTTTCGGAATTTCTACTTCAATTAGTACACATGTTGTCTCCTCACTCATAAACACGCTTTCAAAATATTCCTTCCATCTCTTTAAACTCAAAACTTCATCATTCAGAATATTCCGAATCAATTATGCCGAAACCATTTAGAAGCAGTGCAAGAGAGGTTGTGTTGAAGGTGCGTGCCTTTTGTGAGAGAGTAAAGGCAAACCAAGCCCCGTTAATTCCACTCAATCAAGTGCGAACTCGCGTCGCCGCCATGACAGGTTAGTAAAATAGGGATGCCAGCTTCATGCAAAATGCCTTTAGTATGGGTAATAATAAGAAATTACTAACATTACGAATTAAAATAAAAAAATACGTATCTCAGTTAATTTAATTTATTTTTTTATGATAATGTCTGTATTTGTATTTTACAAATATTTAATTTTATAAAATGATACAAATTTGGTGTCTATTTCAGGCATGTCGGAGAAAACCGTGAGTAGTAAAGTATCTAAAGAAGGTGAAGCTGCTGCCTCTACATCTCAAAAACTCAAGTCTCCTGGAAAACACAGTCAAAGACGTAAAACGGTGGATTTTGATGATTTCGATTTATGCGCAATAAGAAACAAAATTCATGAAATGTATAGTGTAAGAAAAGTTGTTCCTAATTTAAATAAATTACTTGTAGAATTAAAGAATGACATAAACTTTGGTGGAGGTTGAACGACTTTGTGGAAAATTTTAAAACAAATTGGATTTCAGTATAAAAAGTGTGGTTCGAAACAGAAAATTTTAATGGAAAGGCACGACATAGTTGCATGGAGACGCAAGTATATCATTACTATGAGGCAAAATCGAGCAGATGGTCGGCCAATAGTTTTCTTAGATGAAACATACATTCACGCATCGTATGCAGTGAAAAAATGTCGGCAAAAAGATGACGACGACGGAGTACTAATAAGTGATTCTGTTGGAACGCGGTGGATAATTATTAATGCTGGTGGAGAAATAGGGTTTATTCCTAATGCTCAATTGATTTTTAAATCACAGAGTAAATTAGGGGACTAGCATGACGACATGAACAGAACCAATTTTATAAAATAGCTTTCAGAGAAACTTATACCCAATTTGCCTCCGAACTCCTTAGTCGTGATGGATAACGCTCCCTATCATACCGTACAAGTAAATAAAGCACCTACTATGAGTTCCTCAAAACTTCAAATGCAAAATTGGATAACAAATAAGGGATTGTCTTATATACCAACAATGCTGAAAGCAGAACTTTATGAAATTATAAAAAAGCACAAAGAAGCGCCGATTTATGAGGCTGACCAATGATTGCTTTCTCATGGCCATAAAGTGGTTAGATTGCCCCCTTACCACTGCGATTTAAATGCGATTGAGTTTATGTGGAGCCTTTTAAAGAGACGAGTAGTCAGAAATAATGTCGGCCAAGAAGCTGGGAATATCGTGAAGTTAACTGAAGAAGCTTTTTCATCTATAACCCCTCAGGATTGGCAAAAGCAGTGTGAACACGTAAAAAATTTAGAAGACAAGTTTTATGTACTTGATGGCTGTATGGATGATATTACTGATAAATTCATAATTGAATTAGGAAATGACAGCAGCACAGATTCGGATACGACAGATGATGATGACGACGTTTATGAAAGTGACAGTGATACGAGTATGTCTGGAATTGTTCCTTTCGACCATAATTATTGTCAGAAAAAATAAATCAATAAATAATTTAAAAATTAAATTGTGTTATCATTCACAACCTTAC